TGCTTGTGCACACGTCCCTTTTGCAGAAGTCAACGCATTAGCTAATGTTGGAGAACTGTGGTGTTAGTTTGGCAGGCTGGATTGCTGCCAAGGCTTATCTGTGCTGGTTTGCTGCCAAGGACCTGTCTGTCTGTGAATAAATTCCATAACGTTTCTTTGGCTCGGAGTGCTTTGGTGTGGGCCGAGGGGGGGGGGGTCAGAACACAAACTTTATATTAAGGAGTGTCTTATGAGGTTTACAATATATTTCCCTTTCCTTGAACCAAGACTAAGTTAATGGAGTACCTCTTTGTAGGAAGACATAATCCGTTCAATGGCATCTGCTCCAGAAACTAATAAATTCCGTGAGGTAGTGAAGGTTTCCGTTCGTTCGCTAACCATGGCTTGTTTCTGGCCATTGTCCAAATCTATCGAAGAGAGAAAAAGTCAATGGAACCAATTGGATCCTGCCACATCATACTGGGTCACATATTTTTGCCTTCATCCAGAAGCAATATTTTTAATATTTTCTTGGAAATATTCTAATACACCAGAAGAAAAAAACAATGGCTGGGAATAGACTCTGGCTCTTCAGAATTTCTGTCATAATTACAACACACTTCTAGTATTTTGAGGAGGGAAAATATAGATATGAATAAGAAGATGAGACTAGCATTAAGGCTCAAATTAAGCTTAAATTTTACGTGGAGATCTACACCTACAGTTTAACATTACGGTTCCCCTCGCACATATGTGCTAGTCATTCCCGACTCTAGGGGGCAGTGCTCATCTCCGTTTCAAAGCCAAAGAGCCTGCGCCGCCCGAAGACATCTCCGTGGTCATGTGGCCGGCATGACTCAACGCCAAAGGCGCACTTCCCACGTCAGGCTGTGGGAAGAGTTATTATCTATGGTTATTATCTATGAATTGAATGAATTTCCTGTCTCTTATTTTCACAATGGATGTTCCCACCTGTCCAGTTTAGTGAGAAGCAGCTATGCACAATCAGATGCAATTGAACGGGACAGACAATACGTAACATCCTAATTTTTTTTAAAAAATAACAAATTTGGGGATTATTATTTTAAAATCAAATATTAGATTTAAAATGGCACGTCACTTGTAAGGTCAGCGTGATTTGCCACATTTTTATTTTGGTGATTTCTTTTTTGAATTTCCTGGTCTTCTTCACATACAACAGGGAAGTTAGGCGAGGGATATGAATTAATTTGACGAATTACGATAAACAATAAAAACCCTTCACTCTTACCGAGGTATCAGGTAATAATCACTGGTTTTAAAACTCAACTCATTTACACAGTAATAGTATAAAATTTATGGGCATAGTAACTACAGGTAATCCTTGACTTACAACAGGTCATTTAGTGGCCAGTCAAAGTTATAAAGGCACTGAAAAATGTGACTTATCACCATTTTTCGCAGTTATGAAAACTCTACAACATCCCCATGATCACATTCAAATTCAGACCCTTGGCAGCTGCTTCATCCTTATGACCGTTGCCGCGTCCAATGGTCGCGTGATTCTCTTTTGCGACCTTCGGGCAAGCCAAGTCAATGGGGGAGCCCGATTCACTTAACAACCAGGTTACTAACTTAGCAGCTTCAGCGATTCACTTAAGAACAAGGTCAGGAAGTTTGTAAAATGGGGCGAAGCTCACTTAACATGCGTCTCGCCAAACAGCTGAAATTTTGGGCTCAATTGTGGTCGTAAGTCGAGGACTACCTGTTATCTCGCATAGAAGAGATATGTCTCTTCTATGCCTTTTCTTCCCAGGCTTCACCAAAATTCAAATTCAAGCGCTTTTACCGCCGTCCGCGAATGCTGTTGCCGTAATGATGGGCACCGCCACCATAATCAACCCGCTGCTACTCCAGACGTATTTCATCAGGAACTGCTCAAGCATGATGTACCATAAACGCTTAGACAAAATGACATTCATCTGCTCTTCCAGTGCTTTGTAACTTTTCTGAAGTTGGTTCATTTCCACCTGTAAATTTAAACAAAAAAAACAAAACGAAAATGCTTGAATTTAAGTGTATAAGAAGATAAAGAATAATTTTTAACGAGATTTGTTTTACCAATGGTTAGATAAATAAGGAAGAAATCAGAAATTGGAAGAATATCATTATATATATATAAGTGAGGAATGTTATTATTGTTATTATTATATATTGTTCTGACTGAGGCTTCCCAAGAGCATGAAGCAAACTCCTGGTCCCGACAAAAAAACCCTTTATTGATTGACTGTGAATTCTGCTCATTCACATCCAGCAAAGTCTTTCAAGGGAGGATTTACAGTCACAGACCTTCTCTGGCTTGGAGAGCTGCCAGGCCGATCTCTGCAGAACTTGGCAAGGAGTCTTGGAGAGTCACAAACCAATTAAGTGAACTAATTGCCTCCTGCAAACTCCACTCCCCTTTCGCTCCTCTT